CAAAATGAGCGCCTTAGCTTGCGCACAATTTGATAGCAAAATGAAAGACATAACATGAAAATTGATGTCAGAACACTGGAAAGATATAAATAATTTTGTGGTGATGAGCATCAAAGTGTCCAAAATTTAACATGTTTGTTAAAATTCTATTTATTGTTTTATTATCATGTGACTAGTTTTAAAATACGTGCCTTTTTATTGCGAATAATTTTATACCAAAATGAAGAAGGTAGCATGAAAATTTATGTTATCAAACTGAACGAGTATATACATTTTAGTCTGCAGGAGTGCCAATTGGTGCTCAATCACAGGTAACTTGGCCGACTTTAGGCTTTGCTGTGGGACTCATTCCGGGCTTTTAGATCTTATATGCAATATACCCCTATAGGGAATTCTATTGCAAACACAATGATACCAAGGCGAACGATATAGCATGAGAAGTAAGGTGAGAAAACTGAAACGAGTATATACATTTTACTGATTTTGCGCGTTCACGGGTAACTTGGCCGACTTTAGGCTTTGCTGTGTGGGGAGTCACTCGGGCTTTTAGACATTATATGCATATACCCCTATAGAGAATTATATTGTGAACACAATGATACCAAAACGAACGATGTAACACAAGAAATAAGGTGAGAAAACTGAAACGAGTATACTGTATACATTTTACTGATTTTGCGCGCTCACGGGTAACTTTGCTGACTTTAGGCTTTATACTTTGTTATTGGTATTGCTTATATATATTGCAGTTGTTATTGCTTATATTTGTCTTCCTATTTAGAGCATTTTATTGCGAATAATTTGATACCACAATGTTTGTTGCACAAAAATGTTTGTTAGCAAACTGTATGTGTTTTTCTGGTGTATTGGGTGTAGCGGTTGTGGCGATGAGTGTGTTCTAGCGGGCAAGGCTTCGGTTCTCACCCAGAAAATGGCATTTCATTACATTCAACGCTGGATTTTTGGTAGTAAAAAACACCATGCAATATAAATATAACTTCTCTGGGGGAGCCCCTACTGCTCCCCGGAGCTATCCATGGCTGATATGGATACCCTATTTTGCATCAGTCAATGTGGGTGAAGTTCTAGGCCTACCGGGGACCACGAGCCAGAACCTGGTTCCCCCCCCCCCTCACAGAGGCACGAGGAGCAATGGCCTATAGAATGCACATGTGATTTGGAGCATTCTATATCTGCCATCGACCAGGACAGGCACCCAGAATGGTAAGCGCCACAAAACAGACTCCTATTCAGGTTAACAACGAAAAACATCAAATGAGTGGACAGAACTCCCTAAAGGAAAAACAAGCAAACAAGCATGACGTCACAT